CTGGCCCTGCAAAAGCCACTGGGCTCCTTCCCATCTTCTGAAGACTCTCATCGTGAAAGATGATACATGCTTGCTCTTCAGAGAAATTTCTGGGAAACCAGAGTTTGTAAAAAGCAAAACAGATTGTTTCATCTTTAAAAATAAAATGGGCAGGATTGCTCCCAAATTTCACAGTCCGTACGACTGCTTCTGATATTGCTAAGAAAACTGCCATCATTATTACTGGGAGCTTTTCAGAATCAGGGATTCAGGACTTGTCCTCCAGGTCTATTACAACTCCACCCCCATGGGAACTGCATTTGCATAAAGCCACATTGATGACAGAATGTCTCCTCAGCCCCACAGCAGGGCCATCTGCGAATGGTGGCTCGCTAGCATCACAAAAATGTATCTATTAATTAGATGTTGGCTGTTAGATGTTCCAGGGGCACCGATGTTGAATGCCCTGGGTTTTCCTACCAACAGCTGAGTCTGTAGAAAGAACCAAAAGTTTTATGTTTTAGAAATACGAGGTCCTAACTTAATGTTTTCTATTGCCATAGGTACTGCTGTATTTTGACCTCAGTTATTAAGTTGGGCATGGTAGGTCCATAGAAGATTACAGATATGTGCACAAATCCGTCAATGCAGGAGCCTGAGGAGACAGCTCAGTGGGTTAAGTGTGCGCTCCACATGCATGAGGACCTGAGTTCTGATCCCCAACACCCATGTAAAAGCTGACATGGCAGCATGCTCCTATAACTCCAGCACTGGGCCAGGGAGGGGGTGGTCTAGCCGAAATGGCAAGCTCTAAATTCAAGGAAGAAACCCTATCTCAAAAATAAGACAGACAGCAACAGGGGAAGAGACCCAGAGTTGACCTTTGGCTTCCCAAGCACACTTACATGCACACACACACACACACACACACACACACACACACACAAATCTGTCAATGTAGCCATTTCTGCAGCTCACTAAACCATTGATTGTATGAATTATATTTTCTTTATTATTAATGAAACTGACAAATGGGGGTTCTGAAGTTTTAGAATCACGTCCTAAATCTGACTCTACCCTTTAGGAAAAGTTCTTCATGAGGGTCACCTGACTTGTCCGTATGACTTGGTAGACTAGGTTTAGACAACTTGCCTTTACTTACAAATGAACCACTCAAAGACTTATCCTGAGAGGATGTGTGGGAAGACTTTTGGACTCAGGATCTGAAGGCACAGCTGAACATCTTGGGCAGGTTAGCTGACCTGAAGAGCTCCAGTTGTCTGATGCATGAAACACGGGAGAGGCATACTTCAGCACACTGTGCTGACAACTATGTGCAATGACATATTTGAAAATACCCAGAGGAGGCTGTGGCACATATAAAGGCATTAAGCATGACTTACCAACCTCACATTTTAACCTCAGAATATTGGGTGCAGAGTTAATAGTAATGTCAAGAGTGATAACAGGTGTTTGCAAGAACAGCGTTTACACTGTCCACTAGGATGATAAAGGCACCAAAGTCTTTCACGTCAAGAAAAGTTTTGTTTTGTCTCTTTTGGGAGATAATGTAGATGCTGAGTCTGAGGGTTCAGGAGAGAAGAGAATTCAGCAGAAGAGAATTTGGCATTAAGATGGAAACTTGGAAAGCAGATTACATTCACATATCGCTAAGAGCCATCTGTCTGAGGAAAAGAGAAGCCTTTCTTGGGAACTAGGAGTGTTCTTGGCACTGGAGAACTTCAGGAACAATCTTGACTGGACATGCAGTTTAGTGGTAGAATGTTCTGAGGCTCAGGGTGCATTCTTCAGCACCAAAAAAGTAAGAGAAGTCTCTTGGACAATTCAGTAGAATGCTGCAGAGCTAACACAGCGAAATACAGATCAAACATTCAGACATTCAAATCCACAGTCCTGAGACGCAGTGTCAGTGTCCACACGGCATGATTTGGGTTCAAAGAAGTGGAGGAAATACAGAAGGAGACACTAGATTGGAGGATGCTTTTAAATGTAACATAATTTAGAGCATTTGCCTTTCAATCATTTCTTCCTTTTCGGCTTTTCAGAGTTACCACAATATTAACAAACACCTGATCTTTCCCCTTTCCAAAACGGTGAACAAAAATGCACATGTCTACCCATGTGGTGTTTCTTACTGGATTTCATAATAAATTTAAAGCTATGGTCTTCTAGGTGAGAAATATCATTCCCAGCAGTGATCAAACCTCACTCAGAAATTCAAAACCCCGTAAGAGCTTGTAGCTGAAAGGAAATGGCACTTGCTGTATCCAACTGACTTCCCCATTTTTCTCATTCCCATATGTTGGTGGCAAAGCTCACCACAGGAGCATTTGTATCATTAGAGGAACTGAGAAGTAAAGTGGCCGCCCTAAAGAACTTGATACCAGAACTGGAGGAAAAGGGGCGATAAACACACGGGGCAACTGTGGGTAGGCAGAAGGTTGTTGTGGAGATCTTGGACAACCACAGCACTGTGAGCTTCTGTGAGCAACAGAAGGTCCATTCTGGACTCTGTGACTGATCAAAATCATTAACAAAACAATAAAGCATGCAGAATAAGGAGTCACCACACAACATACCTGGCAAAGATGCTGTGGCTCTTAGGATGAAGGTAATAGTAAAAGAGTCACAACCAAAACGGAATTTTTTTACATGGAAATATACATTGTCAATCAGCAGTTCTCAAACTTTTTGGTCAGAGACCTTTTACAAAGTTATTGACAACTCTAGTTTTAATTTATGTAAATTATGTCTGTTGAGATATCCCACAGAAGTTAAAATTGAGGCACTCTAGAAACAAACACAGAACTATGTGAGACTTAGCCCCTGGAACAACTCAAGCATCACAGCTTGTGCAACCTCAGAAACACCCTCATGAGCATTATGCACGTGAGAGAATGAGAATTTAAAAGCAGCTGAATATCTATAGCTACTCAGGAGCCTGAAGTAGGAGGCTCACTTGAGCTCACACATTTGAAGCCAGAGTAACATAGTAAGACCCTGTCTCCAAAATGAAAATAAAACCCAAAATCTAGCAAGCAAAAAATTAACTGGGCACAGCGATACAGACCTGTAATCCCCTCACTGAGGAGGCTGCCGTGACAGGAAAATGGTGAAACTAAAGCCAGTCTGGGCTATAAATTGTCTCAAAAAAGGGTGAGGGTGACTTCAAAGGAAAAGGGGTCTTATTTTTTTAAGTGATTTTGGTCTGATAGCCTACAGCAGAGTCTCCTTAAGAGTCACAAGCTTGGGTTTGTCAAAAGAAGCAGGGAGACAGGATCATGATTTCCTACTCTGTTCCCACCAGAGAAACTTTCTTAAAACTTTCGAATATTCCACATACATTCATAAACCACATTACAGCACCTGGTCAAAGACAAATATACATACAACAGTGATCACATCAGATTGTACCACTGTTCTACTTAGCTATCAGTTGCTGTGATCAACACCATGACCCAAAGCAACTTGTGAAGGAAAGGGTTTATTTCATTTTACACTTCCAGTGGTAGTCTATCACTGAGGGAACTCAAGGCAGGAACCTGGAGGCAAAGACCATGGAGGAATGCTGCATACTGGCTTGTAGCCAGGCTCACCTTTGACTATCTTTCTTATGCACCCCAGGACCACATGACTGGGGATTGCACCTGTCACAATGGGCTGGGCCCTCCCTTATCAATTACCAACCAAAACAATGCCTCCACAGACATGTTCACAGGTCAGTCTAATAGAGGCAATTCTTCAACTGTGGTCCCTTCTTCCCAGGTGTGTCAAATTGACAACCAAGATTAGCCATCACAACCACCTAGGGTTGCTGTAGCTGCCTTAGTTTGTATTAGTACAGCATATGATCATCACATAGCCACGAAATCATTACTTCGGGGGAGAAGGTTTCATTTTTAGGCATTTACTATGAAAAATATTTTTCATTAAATTTCCCTTTAACTTTTCTCTTTTGAGCATTGACACCCCCCCCCCAAAAAAAAAAAAAAAAATCACAGTTATTAAGCCACTTCCAGAATGTATACTGTAGTGCAAGTGAAGGAAAGTTTATAAAATATGTAACATCAAAAATTATATGTAGAGTATCACAAAAATAATCTATTGTGACTATTTTGTAAGTAAATGCATTTATTTAGAAATTATTCATTGAATACTGCATGACTGGTGCTGGGCTGGTCATACCACAAACATCCCCTTTGCACTGCTGGAGATGGAATTCACAACCTCACAAATATTAAGCAAGTGCTCTACCACCGAGTCAGCCCATTAAATGTCTTTGTTAAGGAAAACAAAACAACAAGCAAAAAAACAAAAACAGAAAACGAGTCCAGAAGGAAGAATCACAGACAGTCACCTTCTCTCTTTCAGCTTTAAATTAGTAGAGCCAAAGAAAATTTTACTTTTGTTTCCTGCCATGTCAAGACTGGAGCTGACCTGACTAGGCACTAAGCAGTAATCGTTTTCACTAGGAATCATTCTGAAAAGAAAAGGGCTTAATGTCCAGACAGCTGACTCCAGTGGGCAGCTTTCCTAATTCCAAAGAAACTGACCTAGCTTTTGATGATGATTGTTTCTAAAAGAGGAGAACCGAACCATTCTCCAGACCCATTGGTCTCTTTCTGGTTTTATGGCAATGTCCTGCACCCAGCGGTGCTAATCAATGCTCAGTCCTGGTGGACAGAGCTGGTGGTGGGTGGAGGGAAAACAGCACCCAGACAGGATACCGAAGCGGGGAGGGGGCTGAGATTACCACTTTAGAAAATAAAATGATGTTTACACGCAGAGTAACAGTCTCTCACTCACACATCCCACCTTTGACATTAATCAGAACCTTCTATATTCAGCATGTCATGTTTTCCACCCAGCAGTTATAGATACTTTGCTTTGAAGTAGAAGGGGGTGTGGAAAGAACCATGGCTGCCCTAAAAGGAATGAGGAAGTGAGAGCTCTGCAGTGTCTGGCTGCCTCTGTCTGTGTGACAGCCCATGATGTTCCTTCCGGCCCCAGTAATATTCTGAATTTCCACCTGCCCGCCCCTGCCACTTATAACAACAGCACGTGAAGCCCGGGGCTTCAGTTTCCTTGACTCTGTGGGTGGATTTGTAGGGGCAGAGTGTCATGCTGAGTCTCCGGTTTTCCTCAGTTCACTGGTGGTAAAAGAACTCTGGCTGGAGACCCTCGCAGGGTAAGTACCATAGATTCACGGGACCAGGAAATAAACCACCTCTTGGCTCTTGAGTCCCCAAGACCATATGCCACAGAGAACAACTCTGCCAAGGAATATCTGTTTTAGAAAGGCTCTGAATGCAGACTGCTCAGCTACCATGTAACAGCTGCAGTTTGGGGTTAGGAATTCTGTAAATGTTATCTTTGGTTTGTCTATACTGTAAGAAATATCCTGGGAATAAAGCTCTCTTACTTGGGTTAGGTGAGAAAGTCTATGCCAAACATTTAATATAGTTAAATGAGCACTAAAAAAACATGTTATTTGTTATTGTAATTACTATTCAGACTGTCTCTTGTTGGGAATATGTGAGCAACAGTTTGGGAGTGGTAAACACATCAGCTTAGAAATGAATTCAGATGCAGTTCTTAATAGCAGGTGACATCTGCTAAGAGAGACTAATTTTATTGTATCTTATTTTACAAACGTGTAGGACTTTTTAATTAATTTGTCTAAAAGAAAATGTAGGACAAGAGTCCTAAACTATCTGGTGCTGGAATGGAACCAATTATTCTATTTTGTAACTCTTTTCCTTTATGATTTATTGTAGACAGAATCAAAGCCCCCACAATAGTGAAATCCTCCTGGACTGTCAGGCCAAACTCCAATGAAGTTGATAAGCAGCTTTGATGCTGTATGTGAGTCCTTCACACTTTGATTCATTCATTTTTTTTTCCAGGGGTGAGAGTCAAAAGACCTTTAATTAATGTTATTTTTTTCCTCTCTTTTAGTCAAAAACACTTGATGCCAATAATATGGAGACATTAATTGAATGTCAGTCAGAGGTAAGAATGTAATGTTTTTAACTTTTTATTTGCACTGTGAGAAAACAGAAAACTCTGTTGATGTTCTTTGGGTTGTTTAATTATCAGTGTAAAGTGAATATTAGAATATAAATTTAACACATGGATTGAGATCTTCTTTGGTAAGAGTTGAGATTGTAATGTTGATTCTAGAATTGAAAAAGAGAATCAATGTACTTGACTTAATTTTTAAGAGGAATAAAATGTACATTTTGAAGAGAAAGACTGGGTCTCCTAAGTCATTATTTTAACTGAAATATCTGTTTTCAGGGTGACATCAAGGAGCTTCCGATGTTGACATCATGTCAGAGTGAAGACAGTATTTGCCAGCTAATTGGTGAGTTTTGAAAACACATAGCGCTTTTCTGTGGTGCTAACAACTAGTGTTCTTGGTTTGCAAAACCACAGTGCTTTCACCCTACTAGGAATCTGTTTTATAAGTGTTCTGTTAGAGACCACAGAACATTAACCCTCAACAGGCAGGCTGCTCCCTGGACCAAGTGCTGTGGGAGGGCAGACACTGCAGCCAGCCCAGCAGCCCCAGCTCCTTGGGGCTTTCCGGACAAGCCTTCTCTATCTTGAGAATGGAAGCCAGTTTACATTTGAAAAGCACACAGTGCTCTTCCCACCATTTTCTCCTTCTGTAGTAGAGACTGCATCTGAGAGCCCATGGAGCAACTGTTGCTGATCTCAAACCCCAAAGAACTTACCTTCCCATCTCATTCTTTTTCATAATGCATTTCATTATAACGTAAATCAGATACCCACCCCCTCAAAGCAACAGGGCCACTTAACTCCTGTCCTTCCAATCGCCAGCATAAACTGTGTAAAAACAGTAGTTCAGAAAATATAACCTTTATAATCAGGGAAAAAAAGAAAACGAGAGGGAAGCTTTTGAGATCCAATACCCACTGCATACAATCTCCAGGATGTCTGAGGAGAGAATACTCAGGCAAAGTCTTACTGATAATTCCCAACTGCCAAGTCTAGGGGAAAGCTGCCTGAAAGAATGTGAGCTAGATTCTGAGGTAAAGCAGCCTACTGGGCCACTGCAGATACCCTGGAGGAGGCAGCCCCTCTAGTGGCTGTTTCGTGCTAGGACGGCTGCACAGGGTATGAACAGCCAAAGCCTGCTCAGAGCCTGCAAAAGGATCTTGAGCAACTCTCTTCCTCTCTTTTTAAGTTTCACTTTCAAAGAAATAAAATAATCTCCATTAATCAGAAATATTCTCTATAGTTATTAGGGCCAATACATTAAAATGGTTGGTTTTGACTTGCACGATTAGATTTTGCTAATTTTCTGTAGCAAATAGCTGTGAAGGTAAAAACAGGAAAGGTGGGGCTTTTGAGGAACCCTGGTGTTGCTGTTTAGGCACTGGCTCCCCTGGCAACAGTGTGGCTGTGAGGTTCATTTTTCTAGATCAAGAGTCGATCAAGAGTCATGCCCTTTGCTTTCTCAATTTTTCAACAGTATCTCTCTAACACAGCATGCTATATAAATCGCTCCCCTGGCAACAGTGTGGCTGTGAGGTTCATTTTTCTAGATCAAGAGTCATGTCCTTTGCTTTCTCAATTTTTCAACAGTATCTCTCTAACACAGCATGCTACATAAATGATACTTTGTAGCCTATGTACGTATCTTATTAATGATGAATTTTCTCTTTATCTGCTTGTTTCCTGGGCTACAGAAGTTAAAAAGAGAAAGAAAGTACTGTCCTGGCCCTCTCTCATGAGAAGACTCTCGCCTTCATCTGATTTCTCTGGGTCTTTGGAACCAGAGCTGAAAGTGTCACTATTTGATCAGTCCTTGTCAATCATCTGTGGGGAGAATGACACACTCCCCAGACCCATCCAGGTAGGTGTGCCCTGACTCATAAATCTACTTCAGCTTCCTGTCAGATGTGAACAGTCTTTGGAAAATCTGAACGTGATGGGACAATCTTTCAGATTCTCATGCCATCCTGGAAATGCCATTCCCATTTCCCAGTGCGGCGGGGAGCCTAGGGATCAGTGGTATCTATCAGTGCTCAGAGCAATGGGCTCTCCCTCCCTCCTCCGACTGGCAGACTGAAGAAGCCAGAGCAACTGCAGCTTCTGAAAAGGCAGCAGAGGTGCTGTATAGAGCGGAAATCCATTGTGTCCATGGAAGTACTTGAAAAAGGAGTCCAGAACAATTTCAAATGTCAACATGAGCACTTTTGGAGCTCACCTCCTCTGGCAAAAATGAGTGACAGGAGATCCTTGGTGGCAACTGGCCTCAAAGCCAGCACAGGCCTCAGTGCTTGTTCAAGGCCATCATCCAGTCTAGAGAACGAGCTTTTACAGGGAGGAGAGTTTATGACATGATGTTAATGCCTCTTCATGCCTGTTACTTTAATTCTCTTTCTCTAACCTACAGATAGGGTTTTATGTATTATTAGCGACAATGTATGTTTCTGAGCCATGGGTGACCATTTTCTGTTGCTGTATCCTTTCCCACAGGACATTCTGACCATCCTTTGCCTTAAAGGCCCTTCAACTGAAGGAATATTCAGGAAAGCTGCCAGTGAGAAAGCCCGCAAGGAGTTGAAGGAGGAGCTCAACTGTGGGGGCTCTGTGGACCTGAACCAGCTGCCTGTGCACCTCCTGGCTGTGGTCTTCAAGGTGAGCTGGCTGTATTCATGCCGGACAGCCTGAGGGGGGTTCTGGCATACTCCTCAGGAAACCAGGAACTAGCTGTTCCCTACCAGACAAAGTCAGTTGATTGGGGAGTTTAGTGTTTTTCTCAGTTAAGTCTTTTAATTATTTATATAAGCACCTCTGTTTCATAATTCCAGACTTCAACAGGAGTACATTAAATTCTCCCAAAATATTATTTAAAAGAAGTTTGAAGCGGGTGTGGTGGCACATGCCTTTAATCCCAGCTCTTGGGAGGCAGAGGCAGGCGGATCTCTGTGATCTGCCAGCCTGGTCTACACAATGAGTTCCAGGCAAGCTGGGGCTACAGGGAGACCCTGTCTCAAAAAAGACCAAAAAAAGAAATTTGACTGTCCCATGCCCGAGAATGTCCCCCTAAATCTGGTCTCCCCAGAATTGACCCATCTAGGAGCAGTACCTCTTACTCTGCCTGGTACTGGGAAATTACAGGGATGCAGTACGAGTCTGGCTAGGTTCCTTAGATGCAGGGATGTGACGGGGAAGCAGGAGGACCCTGTGGAGAAGGACTACAAGGAGGTGAAAGAAAGACTCATTGCACCGTACAAACAGGCCAACGCACCCCTTTCCTCCTCCAGGACTTCCTCCGGGGAATCCCCCTGAAGCTACTCTCCTGTGACCTCTTCGAGGAGTGGATGGGTGCCCTGGAGAAGCCAAGTGAGGAGGACAGAATCGAGGCCCTAAAGCAGTAAGTCCTCAGAGTCATCCCAGGAGGCAAGGCACCATCTTCCTGCTCCCTCATAACACTGAGTGCTTTGCAATTCCTGTTTCAGTAGCTCTACCTAAATGAAAGGCAGCACTTCTTCAAAAAGTAGAAAGTAAACTTTAGTGCTCATAAATCCCAAGATGTGGGAGAATCTAAAAATATAAGGAGTTTGAAAAGGTATGAACTCACACCTGAATGCTTCACCACAGGCTAACCAATGAAGTTGAGATATCCTTAACCCACATTAACTGGTATCATGCCAACCACACTTCTCTCATAAAACATCCCTTACAGCATAGTAGAGTAACTTGGAAGGGATTGATTTGTTTATAAAAGTCCACAGCATATTCCATATTCTTATAATTAGCCAAAAATTTTAAAGCTATGTAAGAATAAATTCCAAAGATTAGCAGTAATTTCATAAAGAAAGTGTGACCTCTGAAGAACTAGGAAATCCCTAATGCTTGACTTTAAAATGTCAGCATCCTAAGAAAGCCCATTACCACACTACAGTTGTGCCCCTGGGCTAAGCATTTTCCATGAAATATTTACCAAAAGGAAAAGTCTCTGTTCCCCTCACCCCAAAGAAAAGAAAATCCTAAGATTATCTCAATAGGTTTTTATCTAGGCATAAAACTATTTTATAGCAATAATTTCTGAGAAATGAAGAGGATCCACGTGTTGGACTCTCACTTCATTTTTTGAAATAATGAGCTTTTAAGAAACAATCTAGTAGGGCCAAACACTGTGGCACACGACTTTAATCCCAGCACTTGGAGGCAGAGGCAGGCAGAGCTCTGTGAGTTCCAGAAAGAAAGAGAGAAAGAGAGGGAAGGAAGGAAAGAAGGAAGGAAGGAAGGAAGGAAGGAAGGAAGGAAGGAAAGAAATTAACTTATCATTAAAAACAATGTTGGTGTTTTAAGTTCTGCCTTGATAGTAGTTATTAACACACTCATAAATTGACTCTAAAGATTTTTCGAAATGGTATAAAAATGGGTCATCTCCATCTGGCAATGACAGCAAAAAAAAAAAAAAGCATGAAAATAAGCCTTATAGGATTCAAAACAAAAAATGTCTACAGTTCTTTGATGAGTGACCAAATGCAAAGGTGGGCTACAGTGTGTATGCAGCCTCTGCTTCAGGTAACAGCTATGTGTATAAAAGGAGTTGCTATTGCTGTCCCAGCATAAAGGCCTTTTGGGTAACCAGCCTCATTCCATGTCAGTAGCCACTAGAAGTGTCTGAATAAACATTTCATAACGTTTCTTGGGAAAGTGCACCTTCCTCATTTTAAAGGAAGTCTGGTTTGGGTAGAACCTTTCAAGAGGTCACATTAAAGCTTCATGAAAACTGACAGTCCTCCACTTGATTTCCAGGGTTGCAGATCGCCTTCCCCGGCCCAACCTTCTGCTGCTCAGGCACTTGGTCTATGTGCTGCATCTCATCAGCAAGAATGCTGAGGTCAACAAGATGGACTCCAGCAACCTGGCCATCTGCATCGGACCCAACATGCTCACTCTGAAGAATGACCAAAGCTTGTCCTTCCAAGCCCAGAAAGACTTGAACAATAAGGTTTGTTCTGACTTTATATGAGAAACTCCCGGGTTATGATCTCACCCTCTGCAAAAACCAACCAATGAACTGCTTCTGACTTTGAGTTTCTCAAAGTGACTCAGGGTCGCAGTGAAATTCTGAAGTTCAGAACACTTTGTCCCAGCTCCACATGCATAGATACATGCATTTGCTATAGCCCACTACCACTACCTCCCTGGACAGAAGAGCCCCTTTGTTTTATTTTTCTTCTGTGCATCACCTTCTGCTAGTTCAACTATCAACTTCTGGAACAACTTACTTAAATGAAAAACTTAGTAAATAAAGTAAAAGCTTATTTTTTTTAATTCTCCAACTAAAAATGCATGCCTCAAAAAACCATATAATGTCCAATGTACGTTATTGCCACCAATTTCAATACATGCTTTCTATGCACATACACATATCTAGTTCTTATCCAGCAGCTCCCTAACTATTGACCCAAATATGTTCTCATTCTTTGCTGCCTCTTTTGAAAAATGCACTTAATCTGACAGCCTGCTCATTTTTTCTTCACAGGTTAAGACACTGGTGGAATTCCTCATTGACAACTGTTTTGAAATATTTGGAGAGAACATTCCAACACATTCCCGTATCACTTCTGATGACTCCCTGGAACACACTGACAGTTCAGGTACAGAACATTCTGTCACATGATTGGGGTTCTAGGGAGTTGACAGTCATCAGTGGTCCATGCTAGTGATGTGAGGTACCCCGAGTATTTGAGGCAGAAACCACCTTCACAAATCACAAGTCCGCAAGGAAGTCATTAAACGTGAAGTCTTTACTATTGGATTGGCCCACAACACCTCCTCACACTGCACTCTTCTAGTACCAGTCTGGAAATTCCTCCTTCCTATAAGTCACAAATAACTGATTCTACAAAGTAAACTTTAGCTGTGGAGTTTTTGTCTCTACATAATAGAGTATGAATCCATTAAAATGCAAATTGATCCAACACAAGAGCCATCCGAAGAATCAGCTTTAAGATTAAGGTCAACAAATCTTAGCGAACATTGGAGTTGTCGTCATCATTGTCCCTCAAGAATTTCATTTTTCTACTTTTCTTGTCATTTCAAAAATCAATTTAGAAACACAATTTTAATATGATAAATATATTGTCTATAACAACCCCAATGCATTTCCACCAAATCATCATTGATATGAAAAGGTAACACCTAATAAATATTTTTAAAAGAGCCTCAACAGAAAGTTTAACTGTTCCTTAACTTTCCCCAGATGTGTCAACTCTGCAGAATGACTCAGCTTATGACAGCAATGATCCAGATGTGGAACCCACCAGTGTTGTCACCTCTCCCAGCAGGCAGCTGGAAGGGCCCACTGCCATGGTGGATGGCCTGGATGACAGGCACCCAGAGGACACCTGTGGGTTAAGCTCAGTGCCCACTGTCAGCATGGTTGCTAGGCTGAGAGGCTCCATCAACCAGCAGGACAGGAGATTCTCTGAACCCAACATGTCACCCTCACAAGAGTGCTCTATGACAAAGCAAAAGCTAACAAAAAGTGCGGACGACTTTACGGTGCCCCGGGCGAGCTCTCGTCTTGGAAGTGATAAAGCTGAAGATCCGTTTACAGAGGAAGTCTTCCCGGTAGTAGAAGGCAAGCCCAAGAGACCAGTGGATTTGAAGATCAAGAACTTGACCCAAGGTTTAGCATCACCACCAGGACTGATTCCCAAAGCCTTCTCCAGCGTCTCCCTGGATGAATCTTTGGACAGCTCACCAGTGCCTTCTCCTTCCTGTCCCAAAAGAAATTTCTTCATAAGACATCAGAGTTTCACAACAAAGACAGACAAAAGCAAGTCCCACAGAGAAATCAGAAAGCACTCCATGTCATTTTCCTTTGCCTCTCACAAAAAAGTGCCTCCCCAGACCCCCAGCTCTGGGTCTGGAAAATCCAAAGACTTTCCCAGAGACCAAATAAGGAAGGGTTTGAGGAGAGAAAGTCAGCTTGCTGGCAGAATCGTCCAAGAAAATGGGTCAGACATCCAAGGCCAAACAGCTCTGGGCTGCAGCTTGTCTAGAACCTGGACCCTCTCTGTTGACAATGTATTCCAGCTAGTTGATGTCAGGAAGCCAGGAAGCCCCCCGTCTTACAAAGAGGCCATTCAGAGCCAAGCATCTGGACTCACAGACTACAGTGGCCAGACTGTTGCAAGTATGAGAGCAAGAATGCTCAACCAGGACACCACCCTGTCCCCTCTGCTGCCTTCGCAACACAGGGGTGACCACAGTGAAGCGATGCCTAGAGGACACAGACTGTCTCCCATGATTGAGCACTGGAAACAGAATCAGACTGTCAGTGTTTCTGTGGAAACTCAAGGGAGATCTGAGCCTCACAGGTTGAGAACCACATCTGAGTCTGTACAGAAAGATAAGTGGGATTATCTCAGGCAACGATGTAGCCAGACAGTCTTTGAGGTCGACCAACTCCAATGTGCTAAAGAATCCTACATTTAGGAAAGGAGGCCTTGTGCCACAGCTAACTTGTGGTATTTGTAGATACATGTACAGAGAACTGCCTGCAGATTCTGTTTTCCAAAAAGTCATAAATAAGCTCATTTAGAAGGTGTGGTGAGCCCTTCTCTTCAAGAATGGCTTACACAATGCACATCATTTGTCTGTTGTGTACTCGGATTTGTGCAATATCTAGTAAATGTATAAAATGTATTATAAACCAGGTATTAGATGAAAGGGTATCTACGTACATCCCCTACATGTATGTGTTTGTATGCTTTCTGTGTGTTGCTACTTTGCCCTCAGGGGTGCATTTCTATGGGATGGTAAAAATCATCTTTGCTTTTTTACTGTTACCTCAGATGTCATGTCATTTTCATATTTTCCGTGAGCTCTATTTAGGGAAAATGCCTGCATTGTTGAAACCAAGGTTACTTTACTCTACAGGTTTACAATAACTGATCAGCACAGTAGGAGAAAATATGCTGAAAAGACACAAAGTTCAGTGTTTGGAGCTGTCAACAGCATTAGGAAAAGACCACAATGAAAATTATGAAAAATATTTGTGTCTTTTCAATCCTCTAATTAGATTTGGGTATATTTGGGTAGACTAGTGGATGTGCATTATGTCAATATTAACTCATGTAGAGCACTTTGAGTTTCTTCACAGTTCAGTGGTGTTTTATGCAATAGTGTGGAGGTAAATGATTTTGTACGCATTGGGGCCCAGTGTAAAGCTTCAATGTCATTTCACTACAATAAACTGTCTTCCTCCTTTGAAAGCAAACATGCTCATTCCTTACTGACCTGCTACCTTCTTTCCCTCAGCTAACCAGGCATCCATCAAGGAATTCCTCATATAATGGTTCATTCAAACCAGTATTTTTGGACAAAATAGTCATCATTCTAGGTCAATGTGCAACCTGGGGATTGTGTGTCCTACTTTGCGCCATTTTTTTTCAGAAAGCAGTCATTCAGTGGGCAGAAAAATTTAGTATGCAATGCAGGATAAGGCAAAGGCAGTAGTCCCCATTCGTAGTGAATTAGACTTTCCAGGGTCGTTACATATCTTATCTCACTTTTATATTGTTTGTTTTCTGTTGGTATTAGCAATCTTTCTTTTAAATTTGGTCTTTTTGAGACAGGGTCTCCCTTGTAGCCCCAGCTGTCCTGGAACTCACTATGTAGACCAGGCTGGCCTTGAACTCACAGAGATCTGCTGGCCTCTGCCTTCCAAGTACTGGGATTAAAGGAGTGCACCACCACATCCTGCTGTTATTGGCAATCTTAAGGATAAAATTTTGTGATACATTCAAATTTTACTACTCAGTGATCAAGATATTTATCCAACATCTTAAAGATATCTTAAAGTACTGGGCTCCAATTTTCCTAATTATATCGGTTTTATTATTAGATACTGCTTATACTCTTGATTTCTTACATAAACACTTTTGTGTCATCTAGCTACCAGATAAGGAGGACTTGATTCTTAATCAGGGATGAGTTGGTAAGAATGTTATAAACTGGACTGCCCAAAGCAGTATGGTCAGAACTAGCATTACAAAACTGTATCAGTCTCAAGGGGCAGGTCATTTACCTGTGACTACTAACTGGATAAAAGCAATTCCCTCCCAGAGCTGAACACAATCAGGGGTATGACTTCAGCATCTACCACATGGCAGGTTCTATGCTAAGTCTTTCAGTACTGAAAAAGAGTATCTCCCACCAGGTTCTTAGTGACACAGACAAACAAATAGAAGGACAGATGATGGATGGATGGATGGAGAGACAGACAATTGATATATACTGTTTGAGACAGGTCTCCCTCTGTTGCATAAGCTAGCCTCTTGAATGTATAATCCTCCTGCCTCAGCCTCCTGAGTGCTGAGATTACAGGCATACACTACCACACATGGCTCTTAGTGACATGGTGATGAGAGTTAGAGAATGTCTACCAGTAGATAACCAAGACCATGAGTCCAGAAGTTTTCAATGTATCTCACTTTACCAGTGACTCAGCCTCCAGGAAACCCTACTCAGGTCTCCTCAGGTGTCCTTGTTTTTAAAAAGGAGTGGGACCAGAAGTCCCCTCCTCTTACAAGTGAAACAGTTCACTGCAGATATCTATGGCTCCTAGCAGTCAAGTACATGTCAACTTGTTAATGTCTGAACAGTAAAGAGAAAGTGTAGTAACTATTTCAATTACATGGAATGGGACCCCTCTTCTCTCTATGCAGTCCACTGATCTTTCCAAATAGGATTTCCCAACTGGGTTTCCAAGTGTATTCATTTTTGAGGGCTGCAATAAAAGCACCACAGATGTGGGTATGTGTGCTAAAACAGCAGAAATGTACTGTTTCACAGTTCTGCAAGCTGCGATTTGGAGACCAAGGTGTCAGCAAGATCATGTCCTACTGAATCTAAGGGAGGGTCTGCTCCACACTTCTCTTTGACACAGATGGACAATATATTTTGATTATCTTCAAAGATACACTCTGCTCCTCCCCTAGAAGTGAAAGCAATTAAAGTCTGAACTAGACAAGCTGGCTTAGGAGAACTAACCAAAGTCAGGTGCCTTTGTAGAGCAGAGCACAAGTACTGAGAGCTCTGCCCCAATAAATACTACATGGCACCTTGGCGGACCCGCCACAGCTGAGGAGCCCCAGTAACTACTACTTGGCATCATGGAGGATCCCGCCGCAGTTGAGGAACCCGGATAAATACACAGCTCAATGGCGGGTCCCACAGCAGTTGAGGTACCAGCTAGACTTTGTGACAGTCATAAACCAGGCAATGGCTAATGGCCACAGAGCTTCCCAGTCTAGAGATGAGAACGTCCGAAGAGCTGCCATGGCATCTTCAGGAACGATGAAAAGAATACCTAGATGAGTAGCCCTGATTGCCATCTCACTGGGACAGCCACCAGTGCATGCTTTCCTCCTGAAGGGCCAAGCACACAGGAAGCCACATCAGATAGGATCTCACATAGTCCGAGGTTCTTCATGAATTATGTGATAGTAACTCTTCATCTGCAAAAGGAGAATTACTAGGAGTTCAAAGTGCTAGAGATGAAAACAATTTGCTAGAGATAAAAGTGAGTCATTTTTTAGCAATATTTTGAATGTGGACTGAGACTTTGTATTTTGCCTACTTCAGAATACAAATTAAAGGGGCTTGAAAGATGGGCCAGTGGGTAAAAGTGCCTGCTATACAAGCATGAGGACCTGAGTTAGATTTCAGGACTCACATAAAAAGCCAGGTGTGGCTACATGTGCCTGTAACCCTAGTACTGTGAAGCAGAGAGACTCAAGGTTCGCTGGGACTTACTGACTGCCAGCCTAGCTCCAAGTTCAGTGAGAGACTGTCTCAAAGAAATTCATGGAGAGTGACAGAGCAGGATAGCCTCTGGCCTACACAGAGGTGTGAGCACCTGCACATACATGCACATACAGTCACACACATGCATATGCACAGAGGTAATTGAGGACCATCTAAAGGGGTGACGTGTTCTTCTCCTCCTGGTATAGGCTACAAAGGGTGGAATGCGCAGTATGATACAGCAAACATGAAGAATACTGCCAGAAAGGAAATGCAATACATTGACCCTCAACTTTACAGAGCCTTAGTCTGTGAAAACCCACACATCTGCTCCTTAGGGACAAGGCACTGAACCTGAGCAGCAGTTTCTAAACCTATGAAAAGAGAACATAACACATACCGGTTGTGGTTATGAGATGCTTGCAACAGAAAACCCAGACAATGGAGGCTTAGGTAAGAAGGAGGCATTCACTTCCTACTGAAAGAAACGCAAGGCCGAATGGAGGCTCCAGGACATCTCAGCCCAGGTTCCTTAGCACTCAGTGCCAGCTTCATGCACCTGAGGTCTGAGGGTCCAGGCTGGGTTAATGGTCTGCCACTGGCATTTTTAAGTTATTAGAACAGAAGGCACCATGTTTTCATTGGGCATTGTGCCCTGTCAGTTCCACAGCCACTCTTGTTCACATGTCCAAACTTTCTGTTCCACTGTCCTTTCTAAAGAACGACCTGCTTTCTCCAACCCTTAAAACTCAAATTTTATTATTCTTTTTGTTATGGTTTGGATTGTAAATGTCCCAAAGGCCCATAAGATAAATGTTTGGTCGCCAGCCTATGGCACTGTTGGGAGGTGGTGGAACTTGGAGGGGAGGGGGGGTGTCTACTGGGTCTTGCCTGATAAACGTTGCTACACAGGAGGACCCGCAGGCCCCTCTCCGACCTGTAGGCCCCTCTCTCAGGGGTAAGTCTATCCTACCCTCTGTGCTTTGATTCCCCCAGCCTCACTCACCCTCCCATCTCCCCTGCAGGTCTCTCCTCCTAGCCTGGGTCCTGTCCCATTCCTTGTCTTGGCGCCTCAGACACCTGGGGAACCACCACTGCTTCCTGATCCTGTGCATCCAAAGCAACTCAGTTCCTTCTCAAGTCCCCAAGGGCACTCTGGGCCTGCCCCCCCCCTTACCTCCCTCTGCTTCCCATGGTCTGCACAACCTGCGGGTCTTGCCTGATAAACGTTGCTACACAGGAGGACCCGCAGGCCCCTCTCTGACCTGCAGGCCCCTCTCTCAGGGGTAAGTCTATCCTGCCCTCTGTGCCTTGATTCCCCCAGCCTCACTCACCCTCCCATCTCCCCCACCGGTCTCTCCTCCTAGCCTGGGTCCTGTCCCGTTCCTTGTCTTGGCGCCCCAGACACCTGGGGAACCACCACTGCTTCCTGATCCTGTGCATCCAAAGCAACTCAGTTCCTTCTCGCGTCCCCAAGGGCACTCTGGGCCTGGCCCCGCCCTCACCTCCCTCTGCTTCCCATGGTCTGCACAACCCAACAGCCTCTTTCCTGGATGCCAGGGCTGAACTTTCCTCTTCATGGTCCTGT